AGGGCGGGCCCAGGGAAGGGGGAGGGAGGGAAAGGGGCTCCGGGGGCGGGGCTCGGCGCTCGGACAGCTCCTGGGGCCGGCCTCCTGCGCCCGCGGCCGCCTCTGCCTGCGGCCGGGCCCAGCCTCTGGCTTTTAAAGCCCTGGAGCTGCGGGAGGGGGAGGGGGCAGGATGGCGGAAATGGCTTCGCTGGGACAGGCCCGGCCAGGGTCTCCTGGGAAGGGGTCCTGGGGATGCTGCGGCCCCCGCATTGTGCAGTTCCCCCGATCGGCTCCGGGAATGGAGGACCAGCGCTCCTCAGCATTGTCGGGCGTTGAGGGAGAGGTGGAAATAGGTCTGGGACCCACGAACCCCGGACTTGAGATCTTTCGAAAAGGAACGCAGGGCGGACCCCAGTCTGGTCGGGCCTGTCTAGCTTTCGGGTGTGGAGGCCAGGAATCTGCGGGGGCGGGTGGGGGAGGCGGGAGGCGAGGGAGCGAATGCTGAAACAGCGAAAGCGCAGTACGGAAGCGCTGCGCGCGCCTATGCCGCAGTGTCTCCCCGCCAGTCGGTCACCCGGGCTGACCCCGTGCCCGCTGGGGAGGCCTCCCTCCACCCTGACTCTCTCCTAAGGGGCGGATGTGGAGCGCAGCGGCGACGCAGCCATCGGGTTGTGGAGGGGGAGAGGGGCTGCCATGCCCTTGCTCCAGAAATTCGGCTTCATTCGTGGTTTTCCGCCCTTCCGCGCGGCTGCAGCTCCCCCCGGCGGCCCCGCAACCAGGCGGATAACCCTTCCCGCGGCCGCCCGCCCAGAGTTTGCAGCCCCCATGACGTAAGGCCCAGCGGCCAATGGCGGGGCGCGATGGTGCGGGGGGGGGGGGTTCCGGGCCGCACAATGGACGCGGGCGGGGACATGTGTCCCCAATTAGGGCCTGGCGCCGCCATTGTCCCCTCCCCCGCCCGGTGGTTCGGGTCTGCACGACCGGAGCGCGCCCCCACACGGCCCGCTATCGCGGGGGGACCAAGGTCGCAGGGGTGGTTCCGGGGATTGTCCGGGAGCGTGTGCAAGGCGAGGGCGCGTGCACCTGTCGTTGCACGCGGTGACCTTGTGCGGGACGGCACGGCGGGCCCGCGGACACCGCCCGGGAGCGCGCGGCGGGCAGGCCCTCCGGGGACGCGCGTGCGGGGACGTGCCGGGAGTGCTGAGCTCAGCGCCCCGCCGCCGCCTGCCCGGCGCTCCGCCTACTCCCGCATCTCCGCCCCGGAGTCGAGCGAGGGTGGGTGTGAGCGAGCCGGCCCGGCGCTGGGACGCTGCGGAGACCACAGGCCGGCTTTGTGCCAGCGGCCCCGGCCGTGGCAGCGGCGGGATATTCATCTTGCGTGGCAGTTGCTCCCGAGGGGCGGGGGTGGGGCGCGGCCGCCCCCTTATCGCAGAGTCGCAGCCGGCGAGGCCCGCAGTGGGGGCGGGGACGGGAATCCCCTCCGCCGAGCCGCTGGTCCCTTCTCCATCCCAGGGGGGGCCGGGCCCAGGCGCAGCCGGAGGCTCGGGGCCAATTAGCATTTTGATTGCGGGACTGGGGGGGCCCATCTGGACCGAGGCCTAATTACCGGGCTGACTCTCCAGGCGCCTGCGGGACGTGCCAGTTGCAGTCCCTTCACCCCGGACAATCCCCCCCCCCTCTGCTTTCCCCCTGCGTTAGTGCCAGTCACCCTGTCGCTGTGTCCCTGTACTTGAGTTCTGGCCTCTTCCGTCGTGCTTCCGCTCCCCTACTCCATCCTCCTGCCCTTGTCCTTTGTCCCCCCTCATCGCCTGTGTCCTCCATCGCCCTTCACTCTTCCTCGTTTCCCTATCCACTGAATATCCATGTCCCTGCCCCTCTCTGCCCCCAGCACTCTTGACGGAGGAGGCTTCAGAGCACGGCGTGTGTCCCATGGCCCAGCGCTCCCGAGGGGACCATTTGGGCCCTTGCTCCAGTTCCAGCTCCCGTGGCGCTCACAAGCCCTCCGGGCACAGGCAGGGAGAGGCAGCTGGGCCCAGGCCACGGCCATCAGTCCGAAGCGGCTTGGATGCCCAGCGCACATGCGCCCAGACTCAATTACTGGGACCTCCTCACCTTGACACCCTCCCATCCCAAGGTCCTTGCGCCTCAGTCCTGGGATCCAGCTAGGAGAGGCTGGGGAAGGACAGATGGTGATTCTCCCGCTTTGGAAAGTTGCAACCTTCCTCCACTGGAGGCCATCCTGAGTCTCTCTCACTGAGAGCTGGAGGCTTGGGGGGTTTTGTTGCAGGAAAGGAGACTGGGGTCCCCAGGTGAGTCCACTTTGGCCTTCAGCAAACCAAGCCAGGTGCAGGACACTCCAGTGCTCTGCACACCAACTGTGCCTGGCCTCCCACTTCACCCCCACGGAGCCTCTCAGCTTCAGGGACTCTGTTCCTGGTTCACGGTGCATCTCTGGGCCCAGCCCCATATCCTTGTGGGATGGAGGGATGCAGTGTTGGTTCTATGTTCCTCTACCACCTCCAGCTCTGGGCAGGTCCCATGTTGCTGAAAGAACAGGCTTTAAGGGAGAGACTCCCAGTGTTGTGTCCCTAGCACCCTGCCCCCAGCAGAGCCAGGAGCCCTGTGTGTGCCTGTGGTCACCTTCTCACCATTTGCTTCTGCCCTAGTTGGGCCCCAGCCCAGCCCAGCGTAGAGGGTCCACTCCTATACATCTCCCCTCCTGGCTGCCGGGATCCTATCTTGGCTAGGAGCCTCCTTTGGTCTGGCTCCTTGGCACCCCAACACCCCCAGCCTTCTCTTGTACTACAGAATTGGGGGTGGGATGTCTTGCCTTCCTGGAAATCAGTTGGTGTCCTGGGTGCATAGTGGGTGGCCCTGACCTGCTGGTCTGCTGGTTCTGGCTCAACACACACACACACACCCCGTTTCCCATCTTTGAGATGGGACTCGGGTCTCTGTGCAGCCACTCCCCACCTGCAGCTCAGGATTCAAAAGTCACTGCAACCTTGAAGCTTGCTCTGCAGTGCTGGGGTGCTGCCCTCCCAGCCACAGCAGGGTCTGCCTGTCTGTAGGCTTCATCGGTTAACAAGGACTTGGAGATGTGGGTATGTCTGGAACCGTTTTTGCCTTACAAATCTGTATGAACACCAACCTGTGCTCTGCAGGGCTTGTTCAAGGGGGGGAGGCAGCAGACGCTGGCTTCTGTGCTCCTGGAGTCCACAGTCCAGCCCAGGACACAGATGCTAACTAGAAAGACATGTGAACTAGGTGATAGCTTGATGAGAGCAGGAGAAGCAGGACCACGGTGGAGAGAGGCTGCTGAGATGCAAGAGTACTGGGGGAAACAACCCGTGTGAAGGTCCTGAGGCCATCGTGGGGTGTGTGGGCGGGAGCCCTAGGCCACAGAGGGGTGGGTGCATGAAGGCTCAGCAGTGACATATTGAGGCAGGAGAGGAAGAAGGGGCAGAAACCAGGTCTGGGGGTAGCTGTGGTCTTTGGCCTCTATTCCGAAGGGGATGGGATTGTATGTCTTTGAGGAGCAGCTGGGAGGCCAGTGGCTAAGCAGGGGAGTTAGGTTTATTCAGAGTTGGGCTTTTGCCGGGGGAGCTACTGAGAAGGGCATCTGAGCCAAGGGCATGTGCAAGGGAGGGGTGGCATTGATTGTGGCATCTAAACATAGTGAGGAGGGGTACAGACAGAGTGTGGGGCCCTGGAATGCTGGAGTCAGGGTTTGTGGGAGTGAGCTGGGAAGGGGGTGATGGTCAGAGAACAGGGTGTTGGATTGAAATGCCTGGGTGGGGTGGGGGAGAGTTACTGGTGGTGACAGGGTCCAGAGTGTAATTGGGGCAGAGGACGAGGTCATTGGCAGGAGGAAGAGGTCGAGACTGGGAGGCAGGGAGTTGAGGGATGGTCCACGAGGACACTGAGGTCACCAGGAATTCAGACCTGACACAGTGATGGGGGTGGTGGGTGCAGCTGATGGCTCATGTCAGCCTGGGGAGAGGGGGTGGGTGCCCCACTTCCGGGCTAGGGAGGCGAGGTGGGGAGAGAAGCAGGGAAGCCGGTTCCTGCCATGGCAGGAGGCAGACCTGGTCTCTGTTGGGGTGGGATCTTCAGTGTTACATGGGGAAGTTAAACCATAGCAACTGAAAATGTCTACTTGAAAAAGTCAAGGCAAAACCAGGAGCAGAGGATACATTCGCACTGAATACAACACGGCATTGCAAATCACGGGCACAAGTGAGCTTTTTACAGAACAAAGATGCTGAGACCTCAGGGGTTAAGCTGTGATTGGCCACACAGGAATGCGACCTTACTAGGAAAGACATGAAAACTAAACAAGAGAATGCAAATTCAGGTGGTTTGGGTTCTTAAAAACTTTTTATTATAGGAAATGTCAGATATGCACCAAAGTGCAGAGTGAGACAGTGACAGGTCCCTGTGTGCCCATCACCACCATCTCCAAGGACCACCAGCTCAAGCCAGTCGTGTTTCCTTTCTGCCCTCCTCCTTTCC